AGGGGCGGGGGTGTGTGCGTGGCTGCAGGGCCGGGGGCTGGCGGGGCAGCCGTGACTCGGGTCTTCTCACCCCGATCCCCGCGTCTGCAGGTGCTGAAGATCCTGCTGCACACGTGTGCCCAGGGCTCCCCCCAGTTTGTCCTGCAGCTGAAGAGGAATGCCTGCTTCATCCGGGATGCAGCAGGTAATGGGGTGAGGAGCGGGGGAGCTGGGGCAGGAGAGTGGGGAGCAGCTCTGCGTGGTGCTGGAGAGCTCAGCCTGGCTGCGGGAGAGAGCCCAGGGCGGCTCCTGCCTGTGGGGGCTGCTCCAGAAGCCAAGCGCTGGCCGGGGCCAGGGTCCTGCCCCATCCTGCCTCGTGCCTGGGAGCTGAGCGTCCCCCAGCCCTCCCAACCTCGTGCCTTGCAGTGTTCACTGGGCCCCCAGACCCCCTCCATGGCAACAGCTTGAACCAGAAGGTCCGGGCGGCCGCGCAGGTGAGTGCCAGCCCCGTTCCCCCTGTGCCAGGCGGACCGCTCGGGCCCTGCCTGGAGCTGCAGGGCAGCTCTGCCTGCCAGACCCCCGCCTCAGCGCCAGGCCGGGGTGCTTGGCGCTCCCCAGCTCTTTGCCCACACACCCGTCTCTCCTGGTAGGACTTGGCCAGTGTTCTCTTTTCGGATGCACCGCTCCCCCAGCCTGCCACGCTGCCCACCCGTCCCCTGCCTCCTGCGGGTAAGTGCAGACCCCCCATGGCCCTGTCACGTCCCGTGGGCCATGCTGGCAGCGCCGGGCCAGTCCCTTCGGCTGGAGCGGTGGGTGTGCAGCTTGTCTGCTGGCCAGGGGGGCTGTTTGGGGGGGAGGGCAGGGTGCTATGGGCCCCAGTGATGGGTGCCTGGCTGCTGCTCCTGCCCCACTGCGGGCCCTGGCTCTGCTCACTGAGGATGTTCCGCAGCTCTGGCCAGAGCAGGCTGCAGGGTGCTGGGTCAGAGGGAAAAATGCGCCCCAGGGGAGCGGGGGACACTGCCCTGGCCCCGGCTCCTCCCAACTGCCCCAGACCCTCCCCCTGTGCTTGCAAGGGGGAGGAACAGCCATGGAGGGCGACCCCGAACGCCTGTGCTCCCTCTGAGCGTGGCTTGTGCCTCCCCCAGGCATGGGCTCCAGCCCCAGCCCCTGCGGCTCCTTGCAAGGATTTGGCTTTAGCAGTGAGAAAAGCGGCTCCGGTAAGTCCTGGCTGCGCCCTGGCCTGGTGCTGCCCCTCGCCCCGCGTGGGTCCCCTGCTCGGTTCTGCCCTGCCTGCGTGCCGTGATACCGCAGCCCCGGGGGTCCTGCCTGGGGTTAGACCAGGCTCCCAGCGTTCGGAGACGCGTGACCTGGTTGCCGGCTCTCTCGGTGGGTGTTTCTCTCTTGGCGGGTGTTTCTGGGTACCCCCTGGGTGCACCCTTTGCTTTGTGCAGCCCTCCCCTTTCCCAAGCCGTCTGACGGGTGCTGGGGCTGGTGGTGTGGCCGCGGAGCTGGTAGTGGGGGGCTCCGCCAGGTCCTTCCTTGCTGGGAGGTGTGACGGGGACGTGGGAGGTCGGTTTGTGCCCCCTGTCCTGTCCCAGTAGCTCCCAGGTTATTCCTCGCCCCCCTTGTCCAGCCAAAAGTCCCTCACAGCCCGGTCGTGCCTGCAGCCCGGCTGCTGGGGCTGCTCCTCTCTGCCGCCATGTCCCTGCCGTCCCCTCGTGGCACCCTGCGAGGTGGTGGGTGCCTGGGGGCTGGGCTGGGCTCCCCGGGAAGCGCCTGATGCCCTGGCCTCTGCCCAGCTTCGACGGGGGAAGCCCTGCTCAGCACCATCCAGCGAGCGGCTGAGGCGGTGGCCCACGCTGTGCTCCCCAACCCGGAGGGGCCCCGGCCTCGCCGCAGGGAGCTCCACGAGGACGCCTACCAGCCCGTGAGAGCCCCCTCTCCCGCCAGGAGCCCAGCCAGGGCTGTGAAGCCACCAGCGGCCACTGCAGCGCACAGCACCCGAGGTAGGTCCCCCCGCCACTGGGCTAGGGTGGCTACTGGCTGCTGGGGGGCCTGGTGGGTGTCCCCACGAGGTACTGGGGCTGGTTTGGGGGTCAACACCTCCCTGCTGCTGTCCCCGCAGTGAGCCACCAGCCAGGGCTGGCTGGGGGTGGCTGGGAGGAGGCGGACAGCGGGCACAGCTCCCAGGACTCCTCACAGGGGAACGGTGACTTGAGCCGCACTTCGGACTCTTGCAGCAAATCAGGCAGCGACAGCCACTCCGGGGCCAGCCGGGAGCTGACCCACGTGGCCGAGAGGTGAGAACGGGGCCCTGGGGGGCCCTCCTTCCCCCGGGACCTTCCCAGATACTTCCCTTGTGTCCAGGAATGGTGCCCTCGTTTTCCACACCACTAATTTGAGTCCCCTGGGCTGGATTCCTCCTGGCGTGTTTGGCCTCCCAGCCTGGGCAGCCCGTGGGTGGGCAGAGCCATGGGCAGGGGAACTGATGTGGGAGGGACTCCCTGCCCGCTGGAGGGTGGTGGGGTCTGCGCTGGGACCCCAGGAGGGAGCAGGGCTGGCTCCTGTCCCCACCGAGGCGTCTCCCTGGGCAGGGTGGACGCTGACAGCCTGGGCGACTGTGTGCGGGAGGTGAGCCTGGTGTCGGCGCTGACCCGCGGCGCCAGGGTCTTCCTCACCAGGGAGGAAGCACAGCACTTCGTCAAGGAGTAAGTGCCCAAGGCAGACCGTGGGTGCTGCGGGGCTGGGCAGAGAGCGCTGCAGGGGCTTCGAGGGGCAGCCTGAGCCCTTCTCACCCACCCTGGCTACCTTGGCCCGGACCTCTGGGGCCGAAATGCTGCCAGGCAGGAGGGCTGCCTGCTGCTGACTGGCTCCTGGGGCTTGGGGTGCTGCGTGTGGCCAGCGGGGCCATAACCCCTTCCCCTTGGCCAGGTGCGGGCTGCTGAACTGCGAGGTGGTGCTGGAGCTGCTCAGCCGGGCGCTGGAGGACCCCAGTGACAGCGTCCGCATGGTGAGCGCGAGGCAGTGCCGGTGTGCTGCCGGCGCCTGCCCGCGGTGCTGCCCGCCCCGGGCAGTGCCGCTGCAGGCACAGGGCAGGGGGACGGAGGGGAAGAAGCACCGCCGAGCCGGGGTGTTTCGGTGCCTGTCCCGCCTGCCGGGCTCAGCCGCGCTCTCCTCCCCACAGAGATCCATGTGCGCCATCTCCTCCCTCATGTGCTCCGACCTGCTCTCCCTGGACCAGATCTTTGCTGTGACTCGGCAGCACCTGCAGCAGCTCAGCCAAGGCAGCCCTGGCCCCGTCGCCAACCGAGCAACAAAGGTGACTCCTGGGGCGTCCCCATGCCCTCTCCCCGGGGCAGGGGCTCCCGGGGACTGGCCTGCCCATCCTCAGGGACACCCAGCTCTTGGGAGTGGTTCTGTGTGTGGGAATTGTCTGCCTCTCCCAGGAGCGGGGAGCCTGGCGGGGTGTGATGCTCCCTCCCCAGGAGACAAGGCTGAGCCCTGCGAGGGGACAGCGGGGCTGATTCCCAGCGCTGGGAAAAGGTGCCGGGGCTGGGCCCCCTTCCCAATGCCGCTCTCACTCCCACCCATCCCACTCTCCTCCCAGATCCTGCGGCAGTTCGAGGCTCTCTGCAGAGGTCAGCCCTCCCCAAAGAGCACGCGTCCGGACTCGGACTCCTCCGCCCTCGCCGTGGGCTCAGCTCTGTGCACTGGGGACCTGCTGACGGACATCCCGCTCCTGGCAGGCGAGAGCATCCTCACCCCCCTGAGCGCAGCCCCGCTCCCCGTGGCCGCGCCGGCCCGTGATGAGGAGCAGGGGGTGGAAGCGGAGACCCATGGGCAGCCCGGTGCCGTGGTGCCAGCCTGCCCCTGCGAGCAGGAGGCGGCGAACAGGCTGGCAGGGGACTTGGTGGGTGCCGCTGCGCCCTCCCGCAGCCTGTCCCTCTTCGCCGGCATGGAGCTGGTGGCCCGTCCCGGTGCGGTGCTCTGCCCGGACTCTCCGCCGGCAGAGCCGCGGACACTGTCCCAGCCCCAGGACAGGCAGATGGACACAGAGGGCAGCCGTCAGCCGTCAGCCTTCGCCTTTCTCAACATGTAGCTGCCGTCGGGCTCCCAGGGGGCTGCGGGGGCTTTGCCCTCCCTCCCTGCGGGGCCTGTTGTGCCATGGCCTGCCTGGGGGCTCCTCCGCGGGTGGCCAGCTGCTCCCGCACCGGGCTCAGTGGGGATGGGGGCCCCGCGCCCCCACCTTCCCCCGTGGCACCCCAGGATAAAGCAAACGAGCAGCCCTACGCGCTCCGTCCCACAGGGGCGAGGGAAGGGGGGCTGCCAAGGGGACACGGGGTGTGAAATGGCCTCGGGGGCCAGGGCTTTGATAAGGTTAGAGCATCCCTCTTGCTGCCTTTTAGTTGCCAAAAGTCCCCGGTTTCCCGGGGCCGGTGGAAGGGCACGGCTGCTGGCCCCCCTCGCTCGGCTGGGCTGCGAGGGGGGAGCCGGGGCGGAGATCTGCCGGGGCTGAGCTGGGGGGCGGTTTGGGGACCCCCAGCATGGCCGTGGGGCGCTCCTGGGTGGCCCACTGCCTCCGGCCTCCCCTGGCCTCAGCGGCTGCGGCGGGGGGGGGGGGGGGGGCGGCCCCCCGCGGGGCGGGGGCC